TTTCATTTTCTCATAGAACTCCATTTAAATGTTTGGTCTGTCGCATAAAAACCTGCGTACCTCATTTTGGCTGCCCACTTTTCTGGAATGGGTCAGTGGAACCGAGCTGCGAACCATGACCAGCAGGTCCTGCAGACTGTAGAGCTTGTACAGGAGGTTACTCTTGTCTGGAGTCTTGTAATCCTGTTCATCTTCTGCACCAGCCTGCAGCTCTTCTGAGAGTATTTCTGTACAAAAACAATATGTTGTGTCTGCACATTGTTCACACAGAAAACACGTGTAACCAAATGTTTTAAAAGGTTAATCTGAAACTCACTTTTATGCTCTGTAGCAGGGATGTTAGCTGCCGATTCTGACTTCTGGGGAGTGGTGAAATTTTCGGCATCCTGGTTTTGGTTCCTCTCCAAATACGAAGACACACAGGTTTTGACCAAAGATGTCGGATGGGAATAAACTCTAACAGCTTGACTGGGTGAGTTTACCTCATGGGATATAGAGGAGCATTTCTTTGTGCTGTTAGAGGAGTTGAACATTGCTGTCTGCATGCGGAGAATCTCTCCCAGTTGGTCGCCCGTCTTTGCTTTTTTGGGCTGCCGGTTCTGTCTCACAGCTTTCTGAGGGGAAGGTGAACCCAACGTGTCGGGGATGCTCTCGGGCACAGGGGTTGAAGGAGATCCTGAAGAGCTCGGTGGACGTTCTGTTGGTGTGGAGGCTGGAGACAGACCATCATCAATGACCAGCTTCTCATCGTCAGAGTCTCCTTTATGAGGCAGGTCTGCAGCACTGCTCTGTGTGGAGTCCTGTCTCTTTCTTTTAGTCTTTTTAACACCCTGCTGAGGTGTTCCCTCTGTAGTTCCAGCGTTGTCCTGGTTCATCTCTGCTGCAGCGGCTGAAAGATTCTCAGTGGATGTTTTTCTCTTTGAAGGTAAGGCCCCCAGATCCTTCTGTTCTTTAACACATTCAGGCAGTTCAATCTGTGTCTTTGGGGTTTTAGTCAGCACAGATTCCCCAAATGTCTCCAGGTCAGTTAGATCCACCTCAAAGTCCAGGCTGTCGTTGTCAAATGAAACTACATTTCTCTGTGAGCTTTCCTTTTTTTAAAGAAAAAAAAAAAGAGATTAATTTGGTGATATCGAAATGATAACAGTGTATGGATTTTTTATAAATGTTCTATTTTTACCTACCACAGACTGTTGCTGCTCACTTGAAGGAAGCGTTGTCATTAAATGGAAAACATTTTTGCTGCCGCTCTGCTGTATGGCGAGCTTCAAACTCTCTTCATGGTAGAAGTGACTCCTCTCCCTCACTGTCATTTCAGTTTTCAGAAGGGGGGAGTCTATGAACACCATCTTCTTCCGGCTGCTGCCTGCAAATCAGACATGTGAAACAGCGCCACCAAGTTGTCATATTATGTCAGGAAATAAACAAACTGTAGCTATGTTTAAACAAGGTCAGTGAGGAATGGCATCTTCTATTACTTCATCTATTTGAGCTGCTGACTACATATTAGTATATAAATAACTTGCTTGTTTTTTTTTGCACAGGTTCTATAGAACATAAAAATAAAAAGTTTACATAAAAAGTATTACAACAACATGACAAAATATGGGAGACAAAGAGAGACAATTCAAGACACTGGCATCCACTGGCAGTTACAGTCTGTGTTACTTCATGGCGGTACGTCACCTTTTCTTGGATTCAATTTGATCCAAACAGGCACTTCCCATGGCTCCGCAAACTCAGGACCATGATTGTCCAGTAGCTTGAACAGGGCATCCCGAGTCAAACAAACATGTGGTTCATAACGGCTGCTCAGCTGCTCTGCATTGGCATCGGTGCTGACTGCCTGAATAAGAGAAAAAAAACAGGATAAACCTCCAAACATCTAAATAGAGAAGTAACCAAATTTAAAAAAACAATGGCACTACTGTGTGTGACTGAGCATCATTCAGAGACATGATTACAGCAGATTCTGCTGAGCAAGACAGTAACACCCTCTGGTGTCTTTTGTGAAAAATTGCACCAGCTCCACTGGTGTTAACAACAGACCTGCGGTCATGAATCCCATTCTAGCAGTAAAAGATCCTTAGAACTTTATTGGAGTACAGTAATTAAAAAGGGAGACAATTGCTTACAGCGTGCATGTCCTTAGCTTTTTCGTCCGGAGGACTCTCTGATGCAACACTTTGATAATCCGAAGCAAGCTGTGCTTCGGCAGGCACGATGTTGTGGTCTGTAATATCCACATTACCCTGGAGAAATAAAGAGTGGGAAAGTGTGAAGGGAAGATGTAAATCAACACCAAAGACTGATACTGCAATACAATACTTCACACTTCAAGACTCAAAAGAAACACAGACATCAGCATTCATGAACAAGGATAGAAGGTGTGATCTTACAGAACTATTCTTCAGTGAAGTAAACTTTTTAAAAATGCAAAAAAAAAAAAAAGAAAAAAGAAATCATTTGAACACAGGTGAGTAGTTCACTTTAAATCTTTATTTAAAAAGAAAAAAAGACAAAGACACAGATAAAGGTGTTCAATGACAATCTTTATTGTCTTTATTGTTTATCAAAAAATTTAAGAATAAATGGGTCTGCACCACGATGTGATCAACCTGGAAAAATTATTTGGGCCAATGATACTTTTCTGATTAAGGTGAGCAGACAGTGCGCACCTCCAGAATGGCACATAACAAATGTTGGAATGCAGTAGCATAACTCCAACAGTTTACAAGTACGTTTCTAAATTAATTTTGTTTTATGTCAAGAATAAAGTTAAGTAAAAATTACTAAATGGACATTTTTTACTTTTTCAAGACTATCAGTTACTTTGATATGATAGGTGTAATTCAAAGTACATTACCATTATTAGCAGCTGTTTTTCCATGGTCAGTGTCAGCCCTGGGTTGAACGTCCCTCCAGTCAAACTGGTCATCTCAGTGATCTGATAAAGCTGAGGAATGCTTTTGATGCACTCCAAACAGGACTTGAAAAAATCCTGGAAAACAAATGATCATTATTGCAGGAAGCTCACAGCAGATGCAACGACTGATGTTGCTCCGTGTCATTACCTCTGAATACTGCATCGCAGCCTGTGATATATAATTGTAGTCATCAGTGCATGATCTGGCCACATCTTGCAAATACCTCATGAACTGCATCACTTCACTGTTTACTTTTGCCTTCAACGTCTGAAATATTAGACCAGTCTATAGTAAAATGACACATTCAATACTGCAAAGATGAAACATCACCGAAAGGCAAATGTTGGTACCTCTGGAAGATCCCTGGGTTTCTTATTCATTAAAAAGCCAAGATATAGGTTTTGCTCCTTGCTGGACAGTGTTGATGGACAAGGAAAGGGCAGTCTAGGGTCTGGGAAAACAACCTTGTCTGCCTTGGCCTTCTTCTTCTTTTTCTTTTTTTTAGTCTTGTTTTGACATGTTTCAGCAACTTCAGCTTCATTGTTTGAATCTGGATCGTCACTATCAAAACAATCCAAACTGAGGCCACTGTTGTCTTTCACGTGTGCTGCGTCTTCATGGGATTGAGAGCATGAGGTCTTTGCAGTTTCAGCACTAGCATTATCTGCAGGACTGATGGAAGAAAGTGATGAGAAGAGTGATGAGAAGAAAATATAGATTTAAAAACTGGGTAAAAGTTCAGGTGAAAATGTAATATGTTGACGTACCACTGGAGAAAGGTCCACAGTTCTCTGACACTCGGTGCTAGTGAACATTTATCATAGACATCTTTGGTAAAGAATGGAGCATCGGGAATAAGAGGATCTTCCCTGAAATTGAAATTATTCAGTTTACGATGTTTGCAACTTATATACGCATTACTTTGTTTTACATTAAGGTCACATATATACTCAAATGCAGTTACAGGCGTATGCTCTCATATATCAAACAAAAAGCAAACAACAAACACAAGCAAAAGGCAATATATTCATATAAAAACAACAATAAACAATAAAGTAAAATGCAATCCAGTAAAATGTAATTCTTGAGTCCTGAACATTTGAATTTCTACCAAAACATTTTAGTGAGCAGCGTGATGACAGTGAAAGAATATTTTCAAAGAATTCATAAAATAATGTTATTAAGGCTGAGTAATCGTCTTCCACATACAATGTCTGGTACAACTCAAGTTCACATGTGTAACCGGTTCAGCTAGCAGCTGTTAACGTCCAACGTGCTATTTGTTTGTCAACCCAAATGTACCTTTTCAGTATGGTCAACACACCAAATATCACGTAGAAATATATATAAAAAAACTCAGTACCGGAAAAACAAATGCTATTAAAACGTAAATTTACCAAGCGAGCTCCATCGTTGCAGCATTTCCAGGACTACAGTGACTACAAACGTAACCAGCACATCTTACTGCACTGCCATTTTAAAGCTAGTTAGCATTTGCTAATTTGACAGGGCAGACATTCTTCTTCTGTCGTAATAATGGCGATACTGAGATGTACGCTGCTGCCCCCGTCCGAAAAACAACGGAAGTGCATATGCCCAAACGTTTATTCATTAAATAATCTTTTTTGGATTAATGCAATTCATGGTCGCGAAAACGTACACAACGTGTATGTTTCTCAACAGATTGAATCTGGGATTATTCTTAAATGTATTTATAAAACAATGCCAATTGTATTCAGACTTTGGCTAAGTTAGAGAAAGACAGTGATCATTTGCCAACCTGAAGCCTAAAGCATTTTTATACCTGTAGATTAATATTTATTTCTTCTGTACACTAACAATAAATTTGACTGTATCTTAATACATGAATAGGTCTTAGCTTAAGGCACTAAGTACAACCACTTTTATTTTTAAAAGTTGATAAAGTTAAAAGATATATCCTTGGTATGAATATTACACAAGGTAAAACTAAAGGTATCCAATTTTTTTATTTTCTAACTTGGCTAAATATTTGGTTATTACAAACTGTACTAGTACTACTAGTACAGAGTCAAGTACGTAATTTATATTTAAAAATAGTAGTTATATACCAACTTATTTGTGTCTTTGAGTGTGAGTGTATGAGTGTGTGTGCGTGAGATTAACAGTCAGGAAATGAAAGCCCATTACAAGCGGTAAATTTTATTATGGGATAACAGCACATAAAGCACATCTAAAATCGATGTGTCCAATGCACTTTTAATAAAGGTAATATTAAAGGTACAGTTTCTAAGTACAATATAACAACATTCATATTAGAATGAAAAGTATTTAAAAGACAACATTAAATTTCTTATTTTTCTTTACAGCTGTATTTACAAAATGAATCAAAATACTTATTTTCATATTTAAGAATCAGACAAGAAGGAGCAAAACTACATTTGTGAATCCACTACCTGCTAAAGAGAGTTCAAAAGAGCTGGATAAAAAGGTACATGATCCTCGTCCTCATTTTCACATCAGTAGCAAACGAGTGACTTAGAAATTTGTGATAAACTACACAATAGTTTGGACGTCTGCATGATCCTGTCGGCTGTTGCATGGAAAATTAAATCCTAATCCTCCCCCTGTTTCAGCCTCCCTTCGTGTTCGAGTTCACCCCCAATGACTGAGTGCACATTCAACACAGAACAATAAAGAAACCTAGAGGTGGTCAATTACTCTTTCACACACCATGTACAAACACTCCATGTACAATGCATTAATAGAGCATCTGTTTTCTGTGACAAACTGGAGATTGATGAAAACTATTGGGGAAAAAAATGAATGTGACATTTTTGTAACTTTTTTGCTTGCATTTTTTTTGACCATTCAAAAAAAATCCCATGTATTTTTCTGTAGCAGTAATAGGTGAGAAAGGACATTTATACCCTTTATTGTTGCACTTGGACATATTTGAAAGTGTGTGAAAACATAAAAACTGAATCTGAAGTATGAGAGTAAGATTTCATCCTCACGTACAAAACGCAGTACATTGTCACTTCAGTACACGTCTGGTAAACCAACAGAAAAGACACACGTTTCTTTTTTACACCGAGAGGCACTCAGTGTGATACATTGTGTATTATTGCAAGCATATTCTTACTGGTATTTGCTACAAAGAGTGCAAAGGAAAAAGATTCATCCTTGTCCCGAAATGACAATCCTGTCGTGTTCACTTGCAACGCTTGGCGGTGTGTGTGTGTAAGGTTCATGCCACTGGTGTGGGGAAACTGTGTAGCCAAAAATGGGGGATGACAAAAGCAAAGTGAGGACGTTCGATGAAATCCCATGCACCACTTCCCTGCATTAAGTGAATGACGACGCAGACACCAGAGAGGTAAATATTTCATATCTTAAAACCAGACAAATAAAAGCCTCAATGAGTGGTTTTTACAATCAGACAAAGGAGGAAAAAGAAGAAAAAAACAAACAACCAAACAAACAATACTGCCGTTTCTGTTTGAGTATTATCTTTTTTTTTACACGATCCAGAGAAGCAACCTTAAAATAGCTTGTTAATTATCAGATACCTAGCTTTGCTATAAGTCAGAAGGAAATAAGTGCCTTACCCCAGGACGAGCACACTGATACAGGTACTGACTGGGTATCTTTTAACCACTATCGCTTTTTATTATTCTTATCATTTATTGAGTCCTAATATTATTAATACATTATATGCCATGAAATGAACGTACTAATAGGGCAGCCAGGCTTAGTTATCAATACTTTGTTCACAAAATTAAGTTACCTAGCACCACACATCAGGGCAACACAAAATAAAGATCAGCACACCCCGTCTCTATCAAACTAATCCTACATGAGGGAATCAAACTAGAAACAGAGTTATCATACAACATGGTGTCATCGATAAACAGATAAATATTCTCATCGGGTAGGCCTTAGTAGGTATTTTCCTCTTACCTATACAGACAGAAGTTACAAAGCTACTTTTATACACGTGATCATAATAACATTAAATAGGGTGAAGAAACAGCTGAGAATGAGGGAGAGAGAAAAAGAAAAAAAAACAAAACATAAGAAATACAGCATATAGGCCGTGTCGAGTTCTACGTTCTCCACCTGGGAACAGAACTGGTCAAATATACAGATGAAACGTAAAAATATTCACAAAATCAACACGAAACAGAACCAAAGGTGATAAATAATAGGTGTATTTACATGCAGATGTTCAAGGACTTTTTATGCACAAAAGAATCAAAGACATATATTATTGCTTGACATTCAATTATGGCTAAGTGTTGCTTTTCGTTTTTCTTTTTTTTTCAAACTATATTCTTAAACATATATTTTTTTTAATTATAAATCCTTAGCTGTGCTTTGGGAAATGAGTGGAGTTCAAATTTAATGGCTGACTCATAATTCTGGGTACGGCCGCTCCAGCACGACTTCCAAGCGTGACATAACACTCATCTTCACAATTTACAGTCACGACTCGTCTCTGACAATTTACGAGGCAGGATTTAATTTCAGGTCAGGCTCGGATAAGAAAACTGTTTCCCCCTCCCTCACTGTGAAGCTGGTCAGTGTTTCTTCACAGCCAACATCAGACCAGTAAACTGTCGAAGGCATTATGTCACCCTTACAAAACCTACACTAATGATGGATGGATCAAGCTCAGCATTTCCAAATGCCTTTATTTCCTTTAAAAGTAAAACCAAGACCATCTTAATTTTTCTTCTTCTTTAACAACACATCCCTGTTCCTCTGTAATTATTAAAGCCTTGTCTGGGGGTTTATTTTATTCACTCACTGTTAGATCAAATACACACATACATGTACATACATACACACACAAAAACTATTGTTTTTTTTCTTTCTTTTTTTTCAGTTTTTACAAAAAACGACAGAGCAGAGACAGAGGGACCAGCACATTTTACTGTAGACTATACACTGATTGAACAGCACACATAATCCCTTCCTTAATCTGGGATCTCTCATGTGGGAATATACAGAAGGACATCATTTTACAGGCCTGTGCGAAGGTGCAGCTCACACCAGGACACAAGTTTTCACGTGTGTGACAACTTCTGTCAGAAACACACCAGCACGCCACAAGATGGAAACAGAAATAAAGGGGAATTATTACTTAATCCGAAAGCATCGGTCAGCGGTGAGAATAAGGTCAAAGGTCAAATCAAAGGATGACAACTGCACTGCAGAGACCCGTAATTGTAACACAAGGCATAGTGTGTGCTTGTGGATATTTAGACGATGAAAATAAACAGAGACAAATTAATTGCATGAGAATCCAAAGCCTTTTTTTTTTTGCGGTGATCCCGTCACCAACGCCAGTTCCACAAATGTTGGTACACTCTCTAAAAATGCCATAAAACTAAAACCTGTAGCTGCCTTATTTCATTTTTAAGCAAATTTTCATTACTTCATCCTTTTTAGGATCGCTGGAATCAATCTCAGTAGTCACCAGGCGAGGGCGCTGTACAGCCTGGTCAGTTCACCAGTCAGTCACAGGGACAAATAATCATTCACAACCCCCACTCATACCTAGGTTAATTTAATGTCCAATTAAACAGAAGGAAACGTGCTATAAAAACGTGCTATCAAATATTCTGGGAGGTTAATTGAGTTCCTGTTTGACTGGTGACAGGGTTAGGTTCCAAAATCAACTGTGGGCTCACGTTACAGGTTCAGGTTCGGTTGCTCTCATTTATATAAGAGGCAAAGGCAGGTCCGACGAAATTACAACCCCAGTAGCTACATGCCTCTACCTCCGCCTGCTGGTGTAATGTGGACTTAAAATTAAAATTGGACAGAAATAATGAACTCACCACTATAACTATAAAAAACAACCTGTGTTTTAGCACAGCAAAATGAAAACTCAATTTTGGAGGTATTGTTTGTCATTGTTAAAAACAAACAAACACATTTCTCTGTGCATCGCTGTCAGTCAGTAGAAGTAATTTGGGATCGAAATATAACCCGCATAATAACAACAACAAAAATTCAGAGGTCTTAAAGTATTCAAAATGACGTTTCAATACAAGAGGATGCAACCCAGTGGAAATCTCATCTCTGTAGCAACTTTTTTAGATTTCAGACATTCACTCACTCATTTACCCAAACAGAAAAAAAAGGTCACGAGTCAAAACAGTACAGTTGTAATTCTTTTAGACTGTGTACCAACTTTCTTGGAACTGGAGTGCTTCTTTTAGAATGTGTACCAACTTTCTTGGAACTGGAGTTCGTAACTCGTGGCACTAAATAGTTCTGAGTGACCATTTAAACTTTGCCACAAAGGAAAATGAGTCTTTGTTTGAGAAAAGAAAAAGTAAAACACTAAGAGAGTAAATAAGAAAATTGGCCAAATGTCCATTTCTTCATCATTTTCTGAATGGTAAGTGCTTGTTCAGTGTGCTCTGCCAAAACTTTGAGCCACCTCCTCTTCTCGGCTGAGTGCTCATAAATTCACAAAAGAGCTCATTAGATGCTCTGCAACAGTCCAGAGGAAAGCGAGCTGCTTCTTCAGTCTACCTGTTAAACCTCCCTGAGCTTTCACACCCCGTCCTCTGCTGCTCTCAGCGGGCCGCTGGGCCTCGTCAAACCTGGATTGTCTCGCAGTGTTCCAGACTGCGTTTTCTTGTTTCAGAGCAGACTGAGGTTTACTAGTCGTAGAGGGCTTGTGCATATCCAAATAGCATTGGATCAGAACAGAGAATATTATTATTACTTAGGTACAGCATCTACTACAATCCCAACACAAGATATTAAGTAAGTATTGCATAAGAATATTTGGTTTGTCCCAACAAGGAGGGTTAATAATTTAAAGACCCTGATGACACCGTTTGAAACCAAATTTTGTGTCACAAATGTGCTGTGTAATAATGAAAACCACTGTTTGTTTGTTTGGTTAAAATGATGGGGTTTTGTTCTTGTTTTTTTTTTTTGTTGATGAGATGCTTTTTTTTTCTTTGTATCTGACTTGACCACAGTGGTTCTGAAGATGCTGGCGGCCCCGTGAGGACATGGGTGATGTAAAGTTCTGCGATAAATACCAATTCTCATGGAACATTCCTGAACAAAAAATAAAATGTAAATTAAAACTAATGAATAAAACCCAACAGAAAACACACACACACACACACAAAACACTTCCCTGAGGGGTGACAGCACAAGGCATTAACACCTTGTACAAATTGCACGGCAGAGGAATGATAGTGTACCAAACATAGAACAAACGACAAACATGTGGATCCTATGTTACGGTCGGTGACAGATGTTCTAACGTGCTTTGTTGAAATTCTAAAGGGATAATTTTTTCTCTTTTTTTGTTAAAAAAACAAGGTAATCCCCCCCCCCCCCCCCCCCCCTTTTTTTTTAGTAAAAACCTATTTCACAAAGCCGCTACTGAGATTGCTGGAATGTCTTAGGAATCCATTCTACATTACAGACGAGTAGACTGGAAAGCTGAAGCGACGACTACTGTTTGGCACATCCAGGGTTTTTTTTTCTTCTTCTTTTTTCTAACCACTTTACTACCACACTGACAGGAACGACACACGGAACACAAAAAACAGAAGCACAACTACAAAGCATTCTGAAAATAGCACTTGTCCTAGCATTTTTAAGTTTCTCCCCTACTCGTACAAACAACAGCTAGTCTAATTATTGCAGGAATACAGTTAAGTGCTACCTGACTTATTTTTCTCTCCCTCATTCTTTTTTTTGTGTGAGATTAATAACCAAAATGTGTTACAAAAATAGAAGCTTTTTACTACCAGACAAGGCTTTGAATATTCACTTTTCCCCACTGCTGTTTCTTCTGTGGCGTCGCCGGGCAGAGGCTCAGTTGAGAAGGCAGATTAAAGTAGCTAAAAACCGATAACGGTTTAAATAATAATAAAAAAAGCAAATGCTAAAGAAAATCCCACAAAGCACATAGTGAGAGAGGAGCATGCACGTGCTCTCGCTAATTTTAAGTGGTAGCTGCTTGCTGTAATTTTCCTTTCCACTAGGTGGAACAATTGCATTACAGTCAATATTTGATAGTTCCGGTGCAGCCAATTGGATATTTTAGGTAAAGAAATATGTTTTTTTTAAAAATGTTTTTACACCTAAGATTTAACCAATACATTTTAAAAAAGGATTTGAGTTCACCGTATTTTTTGCATTTACAAATGCATTCTGATCCGTGAGACGGAAGAAAAAGGGGATTTATTTGACGTCTTCATTGGAGAATTTTACTATTATAATACGTGTGCCGTAGAGAAAGGAGCTCAGAACATGCGTCTCGAACCTGCCGTCTCATTTCTGATCCATTGTTTGCCCGTGAAAACGCCACCGTAGCCGTCTCTACCCACATCACTAACACTTCCAGAGCAGCGTCAGCTGTTGCTACCAGGACTAGCCCCTGTGACCATGATTCAACTTGTATTTCTTGTGCACATGCAACACATCACTAGGTAAATATACACGTCTTAAATTAAAGAAAGGTGTAAATAAAAGTGCCTTATCAATTCAACAATTAAGAATGGTCTAACTACTAATATCATACATGTTATTTAAAATAGATTCTATAAACATTACTTTTTTTTCTGTATCGTAAGTACTTATGACCGTATACCCTGTAGTACATTATAAAACAGGTGGAATGGACCCTCTTCATTGTGTCGGTGCCCCGTGTGTCTCCAGGGCACCCGTCCAGAGAAGGATTAATAGCAGATGGCCTTACGTGATTTCACTATGCAACAATGGTGGATGAAGTCTTTGACAGCGAGAATCATTGTGGTTTCATTAGAATTACCAGAATTCTATTACCATTTTTTAAACGATTGTCCTTGGAGAGTTGCCGATTGCATCACCGTGCCGACGGAGGCTCCCGAAGAGTTGCTGTGAGTTTCGTTCTGAGCATTGCATCCAAAAAAATGTCTCGAGGAAAAAAAAAGGAAAAGAAAAACCAGTGGCTGAACTTGACCAAAGTGTGCGCATTTATCATCCAAAGAAGACAAGTTTGGACAACAAAAATACAGTGTTGGTAGAGGGTTGTTTTTTGTTTTTTTTCAGAAATAATACTGACCTTGATCTTTGTCACCTCCTTTTGTTTGCCTTAATTTTTTTTAAATGTCTTTAGTTCATCACTGTGGTTTACAAGACAATAAAAATGGGATGCACTAATAAATGACTTTTATCATTTTAATCCTAGAATACTGTAAAGTTTAGTTCTTTAGAAATGCGCAAAAAAAGGTCAAATTCAACCAGACCAAATGATTTCTCCTCCTTTTGTGCCACAGAGGCATTGGGTCCAGATATCACCTTTCAACCCCCCCCCCCACTCCCCCAAATTGTAAAAGTAAACATTGATAAACAACTCCCTAAGCCCCCACCCCTCCGATGTGAAAGGAACAGATGAACAGCGTGCCGTCGGTCCGCTCTGGTTTGTGCAGGGCACCAATAAAGTGTCAATAAAGATTCCTCCTCCACATTCCCCAACGGTGGGCACGGCGGCCCCTGGCTGGGCTGCTACCCGTCAACGGGCATGGACTGCTCAAAGTCTGATCCGAACAACTCCTTGTATAAGGGGGGAAAGTGGGCACGCACAATGTCTGGGTATATTGCTTTGAAAGCTGTAAGCTTCTCTGTATGCCTACTGCACAGCGCTCGCAGTGTCGACACTTTGCATATCAACTGTGGAGAGACAGAGGAGACAAGCTGTTTAGATTCACAGGGAGGCAAGGACACGGAGCGATGGCAGTGAAAAACATTGCTACCTACGGTGTATTCTGTCTCACTCACGACAAAACACACTTGTAAATATTGAGACAAGTGCTCAGACATGAGGAATACTTGACATTTTGCATAATGGAACAGGTTCAACTGATAAATTGCCACTTTTTTTCTGCTGATAAAAGGCGAGGAGCATTATGAATGCTCTCTCTGAATTCTGCCAGTTTAATCTAAAGCAGTAAAAATGGTTGATGGCCTGTGGATAAATATCCTGAACAGAGGGAGATTACACTGCTACAAGGCTGGAACACACTTAGCGGACAGCTACTCTCTGGGATAATGGATCGTGTGCATTGCACCGTAGTACGCAGAGTGCAGCGTGCTGTACCTTTGTAAGTATACCGTCCTCTCTGTGGTTCTTCTGCAGGACATGCTGAAGGGCCAGTTGGATCTTTTGCTGCAATTTTTCCACTTTCACCTTCTCTTGAAGCCAAGAACGATCTAGAAAGTAGAACATTTTTATCATTCAAAGAAATGATGCAGAGTCGCAGATTTGTTTACAACCCCAAAAAATATCAACCTCACATTTGACTACCTTGAAAGGTGCTAATTTAGAAATGAAAGCCAGCAGCACAGAGGAGGGTTGGAAATATGGTGGCTGTTACACAGCAGCTCGTCTCAAGATTACGTGAAGAAGTGGCACGTAACAAATTTCTGGGTTTCCAAGACGGAAAGTGATGTGACTCAAACATTTCTGATGTATTTTGTGAATCATCTCTCTGTCAAGTTCATAGTTATTTTCAGTGTAACATGACAAAGACTTGTCATAATCTACAAGAAACTGTGAGGATTCACGGAGTTAGGAATATGCTGCTGGATGTGCATGACCTTTGCGCCCTTCGGCAATATTGTTATTGCTACAATGATGGATTGAAACCATAAAGCTTGGAATGACTGCAAGAAAATCAACTGTTGCAAAATCAAAATTGATGTTTGATGTCCAGAAGTCCTCAAAGACACTGGGACCTTGTGACAAACTGCAATAATTTGTTATTAGTAATTGTTACTTCATGCTTTCTTAATTACTATAAAATGTGATTTATTAATTTTAGTAATAAGTATGTCTTAACAAAAAAATGAATTATCAACTTTTCAGATTTCAGTATTTTTGACCCCTTTTTTAATTGACAGAGAACCTAAAGGCGACAGCGTTGTTTGTCATGTGGCGTCAATGTGGAGTTTTTTTTTTTCAGTAGCACTGTGACTGACACCTACCAGCAGACATCAACACAAAGGCGGAGAACAGGGCGATCTCATCCTCAGACAGGTGCATAGAACACAAGTTTTTCCCAAACTCGAAGACGGAGCTGATCAAGTCGTCACACCCTGCCACAGCAAAAGACACAGAGAGAGGGTTCTGGATGAGGAAGACCAAAGAACAACATTCACTCTTGATCTTTATTGGGTGGAGAGGCACGTCGGGAGGGGAGAGGAAGGGGAAGGAATGAAAGAGAACAGCATGCTGACAGCACATGGGAGCATCTAAAGCAGAACAGGCAATGCTTTTACTGAGTTTTGCCTCCCATACGAGTCATTTTTGGCAGATGGGTGGCGTTATGCAAGCAAAAATGAGATCACCGTGGAGAGTTTTAGTTAAATCAAATATGGAGACGGACAGACGGATGCAACCGCAGCTTGGGAAGCCCATTACTCTGCCTCCCTACCCTGCTCAGAATGCAAAGGACACTGGGACAGATAGATATGTGCTTCTATAAACACACACACACACACACACGCACAGTGTTACAGGGAATGGTGAGCCCACACTAGGAAACAGAATTCAGCATTTTCACTGCCACTATGGGACACATTTACATTTCTTTTCTTTGTCAAAGGGTTAGTTGGAAGTGCAGAGAAACCCATGGTGGGGACTCTTGCTAATGTCACGGCAGTCAAACACAAATGCTATTTGCTTTTGCCGGAGATGTTTTATGTCAGACTATCAATGATGGTTTTGATAGCTATCTCCCAGAAGACGCTCTGTCTGGCTTTATTTATTCCACAGTTACAGGAGCAGCCATATGCAGCCGAGCCCCGGTAACATCTCCTTTCTGCCATAAATAACTGCTGCAGAGACAGCAATGCCAGGTGAGGCAGGGCTGAGCGCTTCGTGTTTGTTTCCAGGGCCTTCAGTTGTGTGTAGAGCACAACAGCAGACTCTAATTTTGGCAATTACACCAAGGAACTGTGAGAGACACACACACACACATGCACAATCGCACACCCACATGCAGTTATCGTTGACACGCCACTTACCTAATGACTTGAACACATCGGGTCCGGCATATTTCCCATCAAAATAGACTGTGTTGTTTTGTGAGTCAAAGGCACGGCACATTCTGACAAACACAACTTCCAAAGAGCCTGTGGAGACGCACACATAAAAACCACACAGCAGTCAGTCAACTAATCAGCACTGCCCACGCCCTTTCATCACACACGCAGCATTACCAGATTCCGTGCTGCTGTTTTTTAACAAAAAGAGTTAAAAAGGTACAGACTGCCATCAGAGTAGGGCTGCTTGATTATTGTGAAATATTAATAATAATCGGTCAATAATGAAATCACTATTATTTAAAATGATTAATCATCAGCTCTAGAAACATGATGGACACACAAATAACACAGAAGCAAATAATAATAACAATAATAATTTAAAAAAACGGCCATGTAATGAAATTTTAGTGTGAGTCTTTGCATCTGACGCAGGCTGCCATTAGGGGAGATGTGATTTCTCTGAGACTTGAACCCAGAACTCTCTGCCCACGCTAACTCATGCTAACTGCTACACTATGGACCCTCAAGAATGTGAATATATATATATATATATATATATTAAAATATGGTTTAAAAAAAAACAAAAAAAACGGGAGTGAATAAAAATCAGCGACAGAGTGAACTTCTAGAATGTACTAGTCAAAAACTACTACGGTAAATTGAAAAAAATTATAATATAATAAAAATACATACAATATAAGACCAAAATTTTTTTTTTTTTAAGTCAAAATCCAAATCTGCTTTATTGCACAGTGAGACATCAAAAAAAGGGATTTTTTTTTGGAAAAGATGATATTATGACAGAAGGCTATTCTTCTGTGATGATTTTTCATTCAGCAGTGACTACGTTCATTCATTCCACCTGTATTTAACCACAGAAGTAATGAAACGTTGTCTTCCTGTAATTTGTACCACTACGCGTGGGAGGGGTACAAGCATCAAGAAAATGTAACAGATGATAAAACTCCGGCTAAGGAAGAGCTGCATGTTTTACGGGGATCTCTGTGTTTATTTCATTACCCACATTGGCTCTGCTAATGTAAATAATGCCCAGGGAAAAACCTCAGGAGAGCTGTTTGTTTTCAGCATATATGCTGCACTTGTGTGTGTACCTGTGTATGTACTGTATGTGTGTGTGTGTTCCTCTGTGTAGGAGTGACTCGGCTTATGCATAAACACAGGTGACAGTGTGCACAGCCCCCGTATCTGTGCTTAACATTCTGTATGCCTGTATGGCAGCAGTTGGACAAGGCAGTCATGATGTGGGAAAAGAGTGGGGAAATGTCAGCTGACATGATAGGTATTATCTGAGCTGAGCAACACACTGCTTATCTAATGCCGTGTCCATCTTTTGCTGTGTGTTTGTAATAAACAGAGGAGAAGAGAAGGAGACAGAGACACAGGGAGGAAACACGCAGGGTCGGTCTCCTCTCTGTGACACTGTCTGAGCGCGTGCAGAAGAGGGCTTTGTGCAGTCAGGTCAGCTACGCCCTTGTGACAATGCCAGAGGAGGAAAGTGGTGGTGGTGGTGGTGGTGTAGTGGAGGGTGAGTCTGACAGCAGCAGGCCATGTTGACAGGCTGTCATACCTGCTTTCAGCAGCACTATCTGATCGTTCTGACACAGCTCCATGAAGCCATCGATGCGCTTGGCGAACTCCACCACATACTGAATGGCCTCTGTTATTTTGATAGCACACAGCTGCCACATGACTTCTCGTGGCTAAAAAACAGATAGGACAGAGAACAGGGGTTATCAACTGAAAAACAATGGTTACAGCGACGGCTGTGGAGCCCCCCTACACCTCCCCTCACTCCGGTTGTTCTTGGACTACCTTGCTTTGATAGCTCTCCACCTCCTCCTGCAGAAAGGCCTGCCAGGTCATCTGCTGCAGCTCCTCCCTCAGGTACTGACAAGTTTCCATGTGTGACTTGGAGATGTTCTGGGCCAGGTGTTCTGAAACACAACCATTGTCAGAAGCCCAGCAGATCACAGTTGAGAAGTGGATGTTAAGTCACACAAGGCTGTGTGAAAGTGAAGACCTCACTCATGAAATATGCCACAGGAAAAAGATTTATTTACAGAGCTTTCAAGAAGGAGGAAAGGCAGACACGCATGGGCTTTTTTTTTTTTGACTGGGAAAAGGCTTGTTGACATTTCCCTTTACTGCCTGCAGGAAGCTCACAGCTGAAGGTTCAGGCAAAGCCAATCTAGTTATGACACAAATGCATGGGGAGGGGGTCCAACGTTACTCAGTGGAACAAAGGTCACAGTTTTTCTCTGAGAGAAATATTGAGCAGAAGAATTTAAATGATTTTGAAAACACATCTGTTAAAAGGAGTTCTGAGGCACAGGGGAGCTAAAAAAAATGATTTCCCCAGACGCCTGCCCTGCTGGATCCTGATTGGCCCTAATTAATGGAAACTAATTACAAAAAAGAGGTTCTTTTAATGAGTGTTGGAGATGAGTCTCCAACCTCCTGCTATTTTAAGCAACCTTTGTGTCGTTTGCCCCACGGTTGAGGTGCCCCCCCCCCACTCCATTTGCTGTCTCCCTCCTCTCCTCTCCCCTCGTCTCACTCATGTTCCTTACCTAGTTCAGCCATAGACACGGTGGGGGAGGTGTCTCCGTTGGTGAAGGAGCAGTAAGGGAAGAAGCCAGAGCCGGGGGCAAAGTCGCAGATGGGCTCCGGCTTGATGCCGTTGATGTCCAGGCCTGACTGGTCAGGAGAAGGTTGGATGTCCAGGTAGAAGCTGCTGACTGCAGAGTCTGGTTTGCTGCCATCGGGAGTGTGACTGTCCATGTAGCCGCTCAGGTCGTCGTGAAGCTCCGTGAGGCCGTTGGCCGAGAGGCCGTAACTGGGCGTGAGTGGCTCCGCCTCTCCCGGCTGTTGTTGGTGGTCACGCTGTTGCTGCTGCAGCCGGTGCTTCTGGACCTCGGCGTACAGACTGTCTCGCTGCTTCTTCGACATACGACCGAACTTCACCGCTGAGAACCAAAGGAGATCGGACAATTTAAACGGTGTACAGCAGGGAACAGAATCACGACTCATTTCTATTGGATGGATGATTCTGACATCTTAGACTGACAGTGGCTGAAGTTTACCAAAAAAAAATAAAGGATCCAATTATACATGCCAGTCACTTCATTACACTTAGTAAACCCAATTAACCTGTTCATCGTGGTTCTGTGTGAGTGACAAGATCACTGACATTGACTTAATATTGATAATATAATAAAATAATAATTACAGAGGTAATAATAATAATTGACAAAAAAACATGTTGTACCTGTTGTAACAGGACCTGCCTTAATATACATATATATTAGGGTCATAATGCATTAACTGGCCAGTTCCAAAAGGAAAAAAAAATGTATTGAAATGTGTTCATTTCCATCTACTAATTGCACTGACACATTCAGGTTCTCTTGAGAATATGAATACATTTGTCAGTTATTCAGAGGATAACCCTAAAAAAAAATACTCTTTCTAAATGAGGTATTTTAAAGAAAAAAAGGTGGTGAGTTTTAATGTAATAATTAATAAATACTGTCAAAATTGTGATAGAAACCTAGTTAAAATTAAAATTCACTGATCATAATCCAATCAAATCCCTAGATTTTGTGACAGAAACAGAACCAGGGACCTTGGTTTTGTCAGCTGTTTACAGTGAAAATGTGTGTGTGTGTGTTTTTATGCACAGTGGAGCGAGTGAGAATGCAGGCAGATGGACTCTTGGTGCTGAGTGGAGGGAAGAGTCACATTCGTCTCTCCTGGGTGAGTGTGGTCCTACATGTGTGTGGAGGCACAGGTGATAACCAGATGTATGTGTGGCTACGCGCGGTTGTGCTAATGTCCTCTTCTGCTCATTCATGTTCATGATTGTGTCGACGCATGTGTAACTGCGAGGCGGGGAGCCACATGTGCCGGCGCTCTCACAGGTTTTTACTTGTCTTGTCTTTTTTCCCTCGATTTGAGTTTTCCGATTAAATCTTCTCAGCGCTACCCAGTCTGGACCAGCAGCGGCACAGCGGGGGTCCAGCAGCACACATCCCCACCTGTGTGCTCCCATTACTGCAGCTCAGCTGCAGCAGCGCTAATGACAACCTCTTACAACCTCCTATTTCATCAAACCGCCTTTTCGATCAAAGCAACAAATTAAAGCTGCAGACAAAGCTCTCACCTGCAGAACAGCAGCACAACTTCTTACTGTGTGTTTACCTGGTTTTTTTTTCCATGACACATCGTCTGTTATGTCCTTTTGTGAACAATAACAGTCACTGTGTGAGCGTTTTCTTTCTTTTGCGAAAAGTTATTTCCTGCTGGGACACAATGCAGACACGATTTGTGACTAATTGTGTCTTGGTTGAATCAAAAGGCAGACGTGAGCAAAGGTGCACTGATGCAGAGACTTTCTTTGCTTTGTCAGAGGAATCACTTTTTTAAACAAGGACGCTAAAGCTTGTGTTAACATTTAAACACAGATTTTCATGAGGAAGTGTATTGTGGTGGAGATCTGACATGGTCTGCTATTTTTTTTAGGTATTCCCTCAAAGACTGCTTTATAGCAGAGGTGGGAAAACTTGTTGGCTCACTGGGCAAAATGAGGTTCAAAATATGACTGGTGGGCTGGTTAGGCATTGATTGGTCATAGAATACTGTGCGAAATAAAGGTAATTTGGCAAATTTGATGTCTGCCGCCACTTAGTGGCATTAACAGAAATCACAGTCGATTTGTTGTAATAGAAGGATTGACATGTACTATACCGTGTACCAGTGTTTGACGGGCCTGATGACTAAGCCCAGCGGGCCATATCTAAGAGAGGGGCCGTAGTTTGCCTAAGTATACTTTATACTACTTTATCTCAACTACTTTACTTTTTTAATCCAAAAATATAGCGTTTGTTAAACTTTTAGAGCACTGAAGATGATCTTTGTCATCCAACAAATTAAAAAATATAATATACTTTACCTGATTACTGTTTCCCTAACATTTTCAGCAGTTGTTTTTGTTACATACTGTAACTCCATGTAACACCAGTGGAACAAAAATATACTGTATATACGCAACCACACATACAGGAGTTACACAGCCCACAAACACAACTGGATACATCCTGCTGTACAGCACATGCTCTAAAATAAAGACCTTACCATCTCGTGACATGCCCACAGCCAGGCACTTCTGCAGCCGGCAGTGCTGGCAGCGGTTGCGGCTGGTGCGGTCAATCAGGCAGTTCTTCTGGCGGGGGCAGGAGTAGGCTGCATTACTCTGCTGACTCCTCCTGAAGAAGCCCTGCACAGTAGAGAGTCATGGAAACCCCCGGTTACAACATGTCCACAAAGACTTAACTACTGAGTTCTTTTTTAAATTGATATTCATTACTTGGTTATTTTTGATAATGTTGTTGTTTTACTTGGATGGGACATTAACACTAATGTAGAGCTTATTTCCCCCCACTCTGCAGATGTGATGTCTGGCACTTGGAGAGCAGTGTGTTTCACACAGTGTGTGCAGCGCAGTGCGCTGTGTTTGCTCAGGAATGATAACACGCGGATGGTATTTTTCTTCGTAGGGTTATTAGTGTTGATTAACACAACGGTGGCGTGCTAAAGGATTGCAAATGCACAACGACCGGATTCCTCATCCTTTGGCTTAATGAATTGATTCCAGCACATCATTAACATGCCCCACTCTACTGCTCCATTCACATATGTCTTAATTAGCTGCTCATTGGCTGTTTAATTACAAGAAAACAGCTGACAGCTGCCAAGTTGCTTTATAATGGAGGCCATTATGGAAACAGACTCTAACTGCCAGTGACAGGCAGCACTCTTTAATAATGCTATGATTTATGGTCCAAACTTTTGTACTCGCTCATATCATTAAAGGTCTCTCTGCCTGGACTAATTAGCAACCATTAAAGATAGATTTCAGCAGTTTATTCTGTAGTGTTTTGTTCCTTCCAGCGGCTGTGAGAAAGAGAGGGAGGGAGAGAGGGAGAGAGAGAGAGAGAGAGAGAGAGAGGAGCGCTGGGACAACAGTAAGGAACTTCTCTGTCTCTTCTTCTTCCTCCTCCTCCTCTTTCTCAGTCTCTCCCTCTCTCTCTCTTAGTTTTACACACACACACACACACACACACACACACTGAAAAACACGCACCCTGGCTGAGAAATGCTAATGATGTGCTTGGTGACAAGCACAGGGACAAGAATACACTCTAAGCACAAAATTCCCCTCACTGTGACTGGCTGGTGCATTTGTAACAGCACAAAAGGAGGCTTCAATGGAGGCAACACACTGTAGCAAACAGCCAACAATCTGCTATAATTCAAAGCACTCTCCTTTTGATCCTTTCATTTCTAGAGGAGCAGGCTGCAGTCGAGGCGAGAAACACAGTGAAAAGACACGTCTCCGGGAAGAAAAGGCAGAGCGAGGCACTGACATGATTTTCTCCTGTTAATCACGGGTTTCTGTGATGTCCTCCATGGTGCTTGACCACTTCAACGTAATTATAAGATTGAAGTTATTAATAACAACAACGGTAGTCTTGTTCTTCCCATCATAGTCATCATTTAATTATAATTATTATATAAATGAGTCTAAACAGATTACAGTGGAGGACATTCCTGTTCAACCAGTTAACGGCAGCGCAGTAAAATAAAAAATGTTTCACGTCTTAAAACTACAGTAGAGAAACCACTTCTGACTTTCTTGTTGCTCAACCTCAGTAACAGCAGCAAACGTCAGAGTTCAACTCTGGTCTGTAGTTGAATGCCCGGGCACATTTTCTACATATTTTTAATGAAAGGGCAGAAGGCAGAGACACGGAACTCTCCGTCTCCCCAGGTTCATGGCTTAAAGTGGGTGAGTGGGACAAGGAGATTGGTGTCAGCAGAGCAGCAGTTGTTGGTTGGAAGTTCTAATAGAAACGCAGCTGTGTTTTGATGACTACTGTTGTGTTGATAGGGAACAGGGATCAATTTGAATAAATCACCTAAAACAGGGGTCACAAACTCCCGGCTGGGGGCCACTTCTGGCCCGTGAAGCCCCTGCATTACAATAGTAACTTAATATGATTCTTAAGTTATTAATAATATATAGATATATATAGAATAAAAAGAATAAGAATAAAAATGTAAAAAAATGTAATATTTGAACAGTAGTCTTATTTATAATAATAATAATAATAATATATATTTAGTCTTTGTTCATCTAGGCCACAGTTACTGGATGAAAAATATACTCAAGCCCCCCCCCCAAATATTATATTTTGTTTAGTGGTGCCACATGGAATTTTCCAATGTGGGATTGAAAACCCTTATACAGCATTTCAGAATATTCTATATTGTGATCTGTGATTACTTTCCCATTTGTCATTTTATTTTGAGAACAATTTTAAATTTTTTAGCTGCAACTTTTCTCTACTTCTTGGCCCTCATGACCCTCTTCAAACACATTTGCCACCTGGCGTCTGGTGATGCTTACCTTGCAGCCTTCTGCTAGTCACCTGGCGTCTGGTGATGCTTACCTTGCAGCCTTCACATGTTATCACACCATAATGGATGCCTGATGATTTGTCTCCACAGATCTTGCAGGGAATAATCTCGATTTGAGCTGTAGAGAAGAAGAAGAAGAAAAAAAAGGTTAAATATAAATATATCTGTATATACAACATTTCACTGTCACTAGTCAGCACTTAAAAGTAACACACTATGTTTATGAAAACATGTCATCTAGTGAATTTATTTCAATGAGTCATAGCAGCATTAGCCGAATCTGTTTGTGTGACTGTTGTCTGAAGGCAGCCGATGTAAACATGGTGCCAATTAAACACAACTTTCGAGGAAACCCCATAAAAACCACAAATATATCACAAGTGCAATAAAACTTGGCTTCTGCGATGACAAAGGCTCATTTAGCCACATGAGGAGTTATATTCCCTCCTGGAAAACCAGTCTTCGTGAAGCCTCTTAAACCTCAAAATCACAAAAACCTCAGGCGTGAGTCCACTGTGACCACAAAGAATTACAGCACAGCACTGGATGGGGCATGTGTGCACACTATAGAATAACAGTTCACTGGGGGTTGAGCGGTGTTGTTACACTGTTGACAGGCTTGTGATTCACCCACCAGTGCAGAGAACAACACACGCACATAGGACAGGCCTCATCCATCCATGGCCTTCTCTTCAGGAGAAGACCACAGGGCAACACAACAGAACAGACAGAACACACAGACATCAGAGGCAAAGAACTCCCAGCATGTCCCACTGCTCTTGGCTTTATCACTGCAGCCACTGATGCTGCATTCCTACCCCCACTCCCTGCAGAGATCTCTATCTTACAGCCCTCCTCCACATCTCCAACATCTCAGTCCCGCCATCCCAACAGTGCAGTGCTGCGCCAGACGAACTCTGCTATCTGATTTAAATCCAGGAAAGATCACTGCGGGATATTTTCTCGCTACGCGATAGTTTACCCCGACCAGCGGTGCAACCGATCATTCACAGCAAACGAGGCTGTTGCAACACGGGTCTGATCTCATTAGAGGGGAATATATGATTTTTGTTCTAATAAGATGCAATGAAACAGTACAATCATTAAAATCTAGTGCTGTGTTCACTATGACATCATGTTACATCAGCTTCAACCCTCCGGCCAAGCCTAAGTGTCTACTTGAAAGGCTTGTGTCTCTCCCCAAGACTAGGTTGAAGTATTGCACGTACACCTTAACAACCAACTTCTTTAAAATAGTTTGATTACATCAAACGTGCCTTCGCTGGAGTTCAACCCTCAGTTCCTGCCCATTTTAATAAGCTGCCCAGAAGCATGTAATGTGTCACGTGGATAATGTCCTCGTCCCCGAGGCATGCCCTGGAGAGGCCCTCAACACAGAGCCTCTAATCCACCAACCCTGCAGCCACACTCTGTTCATTCAGCAATCTGTGTCTGTTCTCCTTGCACTGCTGGAGTCAACACGGCCGGCCATGCTTACATGGATTTAGCCTACATTTTAGTTAAGCGAACAAAAGGGAGCAATTGAACATGCACAATTAATTCCTTTTCAGACAACACCTCCCGTGATTTGTGATCCATACATACAATGGAAGCTACTGGACCTCGTCTGGCCAGATTACAGAGAGAGAAATCAAGGCAGGAGGCGGGCTCTGGAAACCTAACGACAAGGGTTAATTTATAATTAATCTTTTTCTTACTGTGCACAGTTGCTCGTTATTTCGGTTAGATGTGTCGCTGTATGAGTGCGCTCCATTGTTTGTTTTTGTGTTCTCCCTGCATGTGCATTAGCGTTGCAGTGTGTTTCAACTCCTTTAGCATTTTCAGCCTCATTACTTACATAATTTGTTCTGACATGCTCTCACGACCACTGAAGCGTGTCATAATTATGTCTAGCTCTCCCTAAGTTGAACTAAAGGTTGTAATTTTGAGCCCCGGCCATTGGGTGGCAGTGCTGGGCTGTGGCTATGGTTGTCTTGCCAAGTTAGGCCAACCTTCCACCCACCATTTCCAGCCCACAGGCTTTTGGCTCTGAGCTCCAGTCTCTGATAGCTCCAGGCTTAGGCTGCTGCTAGCGTTCCCCACCCCCACAGCATAGCTGCGAGATGCCTTCATCTTCCCTAAAGAAGCAAAGCTGGCTAGGCACTCGCTCAGGCCTGACAGAGGCTGTGCCACATCAGGTGAAAGCAGTGGGAGTAGAGACGTGGCGGTACAGGCTGAGAAGGGCATACACACAGGCATGCCTTACAAAGCCCTCTCTGCAGCGAGAGGGCCCTGAGCGCACAGCCTCACCAGCTAACACCCTCTCACTCTACCGCTGCACAAGCCCCTGGATGCTCAGTGCAGTCAACAGTAAAAATGGTGCGTCTCCTGGCTGGCTGAAGCAGGCTCTTTAGTATATGGTATGATAAAAGACCTCGCTGTGAATCTATACTTATTTCTGGACTGGCATAAGCTG